TGCAAGGGAATGACCAGCATTTATTTTTACCTAAGGGGTTAAAATGAATCTCCCTAACCCATGCTGGCTTCTGGGAATAATTCTTAGTTTACACATTCAGCCCTAGAAGAGGGTTGATCCAGGATAGATCACTCAGGATGTTTGCTCATAATTCCAAGTGAAGAACAAAGAAATCCAGATGGGAGGTACTGAGTTTTTCCCTGCTAATTCCAAGAATCTGTATTCCTGTATGTTTGAGATACCATATTGTGCGAGAAGATCTGTTACATTCTTATAACCCATAATTGATTCCCTGAGAAGGGATTCCTTCTTAACATTTAACTTTAGTGAAAAGAAAAGTACATTATTGAAGCTAAAGTTGAATATTTTTTTTAATACTCTCTCCCTGTAAGTAATGTTAAATAAGGCTGTAAAGAATTCAGAAGGACACAAAGAAAGTTGTTAAGAAAACTGGAGTTTTCTTTGCTAAGTCAGTTTGGCAATAACATGAAGCAAAATCAAAGCATCCTAGCCAAGATAAATCTGCACAATGGAATGATCAGATATGAGGTAACAGTGTGACATGCCTGTGGGTATCAGACATTCTTGTAAAAACCACAGATCTAAAATTTAGTCCTGCACCATTAAAACACAGCTCTGCCAAGCAACAACAGGAACACTCATTTTAAGTCATTGCTGCAAGCCAAATGTAATTCTCACCCAAAACAATTAAATCTTTTACCAGAGGCCTGAATCTGGGCAATTTGAGCCCTGAGAATCACTTTAGTGGCATGGAATCCGAATCTCATTTCAGTGTGAAAATGAGATGGTTATTGTTCAGATCAGGAGGAAGTGTCAGCTGCAAAATACAGGGCAGTCAGGTGACTTTAGTAACTTGAAGTGATATTTGTTAAGACTAGATTTAAAAATGATTAGCTAAGAAATTTGTATTTTTTGTGAGAAATGCACATATCATTTTATAAAGTTCATTTTTAGCAATTAGAAAAATAATGCTCACTCTAGAGAACTTGGAAAATATAAAGAGTAAGAATATATAGAATAAAATATTATCTCAGTCTCATATCACTCAGACATAAACTCTGGAAGATTTTGCCACATTTGCTTTTGGTCTTTTATATGCACACACACATGCAAACACAAACATGCACACATACATCCACCCATACACACAGCTGTATCTGAGAGCATGAGTAAACTTTGGATCATTATAATATAATAATTTAACACTTCTTTTACTATCCCCCATTTCTTCATTTATTCTTCAAAGAAAATGTTAAATGGTGATACAATATTCTATTTGTCTGGCTATATCAATTTATCGAACATATGTTTACTCTATAAATTGTTTTCCCTTTACTGCTAATAAACATAGTATTTCATATAAAATGTCATTCACATCTCTGATTATTTTTTAGTACAGAATTTTAGAAGTGGAATTTTGGAGTCCAAAAGCGAGAACTTTTTGAGGCTCCTGATATGCATTGCCAACTGTTTTCCAGAAAGGTTATTTACTTCCACTGGCTATGTCTGTAATTGCCTGTCTCACCTATTTGCTAGCAGCAAGTAGGATGTTTGATTAGGGATTGGTGTGGATTGGGAAGAATGAAACACCCTCTGTGGTTCATTATTTCTAAGTATCAAAACTATTTATTAAACAACTGGCCGGGCACAGTGGCTCAAGCCTGTAATCCCAGCACTTTGGGAGGCCGAGACGGGCGGATCACGAGGTCAGGAGATCGAGACCATCCTGGCTAACACGGTGAAACCCCATCTTTACTAAAAAACACAAAAAAACCAGCCGGGCGAGGTGGCGGGCGCCTGTAGTCCCAGTTACTCGGGAGGCTGAGGCAGGAGAATGGCGTAAACCCAGGAGCCAGAGCTTACAGTGAGCTGAGATCCGGCCACTGCACTCCAGCCTGGGCAACAGAGCGAGACTCAGTCTCAAATAAATAAATAAATAAATAAATAAATAAATAAATAAATAAACATAAGTATGTGCCAAACATAGTTTCTGGCACTGAGGAGACAGTAATGAGCCAAAGAAACCAAAGCCCTGTCCTCAATGAGTTTACATTCTACTAGGAGAAAAAAATGCAATCAGTGAGTAAATTATATAGGATGTTAGAATATGATAAATGTTATGAAGAAAAAGAAAGTAAGAAAGGGAGATGGGACAGTGTAGGTTGGGACAAAGAATGAGGGAATAATGGACAGTGTACACATAGTATTAGGACGTTGGAAAATTTTCCACCTTTGAGGACATTACTGGTTTCCTGTAAGAGACTAGTTGGAAAGTAAGCTAGAAAATATTGAGCTCCTAAATCCAAATTTAATATTCGGCGAACTCTGGAATCGTTGACCATAGAGAGTACTAAATATAGATTTTGTTAGTTTTAGTGGATTCCTATTCTTTGGTTTTAAATTTTTATCCTACTTTAACTCATTCATTACAAACAACTTAGTTCTGTATCAGCAACAGGCAGAACATGACATATCTCTGCTTTGTTGATTATCTACTAAAGGAGAGTATCAAAAATGTAAAAAGGAGGCTTGGTGAGTGGAGGCTGAGGGATGATGAGGGAAATGAGCAACGAAAAGGAAAATACGGAAAGAATTAGAAAGCCAGTTCAGAGCCAAGGTGAGTTCCTGGTTGCAGGGAGACCTACCAGTCAAGGAGTACTTCAGTGAGTATGGTCCCCTGAGCATCTTTTCCGGGCCATTTGGAGAGTAACACAGTGGGACCATTTAGGCTATAAGTTGGATTTAAATTTGCCTCACTTCTGGATTAGGTTTTCCCCCGAGAAATAAAACCACCCTTCATGCTGTATTTTGGCAAAAAAAAAAAAAAAAACTTCTTTAAGGGTCTCTTGGTTTTTTGCAAGTTTATCACTCTTCAAAGACTCTTTTTTTACATAGCAGTGATCTCTTGTCTCATGTCTTAATTCTGGCAGGATTGAGGAGGACACAATCTAAAAAGACAAAAAGCTAGAAGACTGAAAGAAAAGCAGGTTTTCAAACTTTAGGTCTTTTCACAAATTATTTTATCCAAGATCTAAGTGTTTTTTTTTTTTTTTTTTTTTTACCATATTTAAAAGTTTTGAAAACCACTTGTTCTGAGAAGAAAGATTACAGACATCCTCTAGTATATTAATTATACTGTTTTGGTTTTTAAACTAGAGTTTATTGGTATACAAATCTCAGTTTCATAGGTAGGAGGAAAAGATTTAAAACACAAAAGAAACATTTGGTATTGAAAACACTGCAGATAGCTAAGTATAGTACTTTGGGTAAATACAGTAAAATGGATCAGACATATTATATATTTTAAAAGACATAAAAATAGTGATGGTGCTGTTGGGAATAAGTAGGTAGTAAGAGTAGTTGGACCCTCCTTTTTTTTCATTTTTGCATTCACTGATGCTCTGAATTGAGAATAGTTGCCTTAAATCTTATATACACTTTAATCTCTGACTTTCTCTTTGCCAAACAAAGTCACTTAACTTATTGTCTCAAACCGTAAACTTACTTTAAACTTAATTCAAGGAAAGACTAACAGATCTGTAGGCCCAGAAAAGACAGTCATATTAGCCATTGTCACATAAATTTAAATCTGTATTTCTAGCATGTTTTGGAAGTTTGTCACCACTAATGTTGTCATGCTAGACATGATAAAGCATGAGAGTAGGCAAAGCATGGTGAGAAAGTGATGCTCAAATTGACCCAGAAAGGCGCTGAACAAACAAACTTGTCTCATACCACATTCTAGTTAAGAGGACCCAGGACTGGGAAACTGGTCTCTTATTTATAGGGCAATATTATTTTCGTCTTATCAAAGTTTGTTATTTTTGAATAGGCACAGCGACTATGTTTTTTACACAATTATTATTGCCAGGGAGGCAATCTTTTAAGTAACAAAGAAATGAACCTAAACCAGAGAGTCCTGGGTGCGTAACATCTCTAAGGTCCAAATAATTCCCTATTATGCTGGATTGTGGTAACAGATAATGCATATTAAGTACCTAGAAAAGGGCTTCATCTATTGTAGATGCTAAATGAATGACACATATGATGGAAGGCAAAAGATATTTCCAATTGTATATTATTGCTCAGAGTAGGATATATATATACACACACACACACACACACACACACACACACACGTATATATAAAGGTAACCAGCAGAGAAATGTCAAACCCATAAAATCCTTTTCAATGATCTCAACATACATTTCACAAAAAAAAATCTATAGTAAGATCTACTTTTGAAGGCGTATCTTTTTATATCAATATGCATAAATGTCATAAATGTTTCCACTAAAAACATTTCATATTAAATCATAAAGGACAACTCAACTGTATGGTACAGATAAGAATCACATCTAAAACAAACTAGCTCTGAAAAGTTGTATATAAAATGATTAGCATAGGTATGTCAGATAAATACAAAAAATAAATATTGCAACTATCTCAACTTTTTTAACCAAATAGATGAATTTGGGTGAAAAGCAATTACAATAAATGAGACAAAGGTACTTTATAGTAGTAAAGATAAGAAAAGACAGGCTGAAAATTCAATTGAACTATCATCACAATTATATAAATTTATATGTGCACATAAGAGGTAGAAGAAAACAAGATTAAAATGATGAGATTTTTTTTCTCTAGTTCTACTTCCATTAATTTTATTGAATTAATAATATGATGAAATTTCCTAAATTGAGGGTTGGTTATATATTTAGAAATCTAGAATAACTAGACCAAAATTTCTCAATGATATCTCATTGCCAAATTGTAGACATTTGTTGAATTAAAGACTTTGAGACACATATATTTTCTACTCACAGTTTAAGTCTTTTTCTTTACCACCAAAATAATTTCAGCTATATGAAACAACAGAAATTGTTGAGTCTATTCCAATTAGATTGTGATATAATACCGTCGTTGCTCTTATGTTACTATTTCACTAGCAAGTAGTTACCTTCTCCCTCCATTTTGACAGCAATACGAGAATTGGAGGCCCAACCAGCCAGACAGCTTCTTTTCTGCTGGAGAAGACTGTGTTGTAATCATTTGGCATGAGAATGGCCAGTGGAATGATGTTCCCTGCAATTACCATCTCACCTATACGTGCAAGAAAGGAACAGGTAATGATTACTCCGTTAATAATGTGTACTTAATCTTCATTTCAGTTATAAAGATAATTCAGGAATTTGTGATTCAAATTCATTGTTTGAGACCTAAACTGGGTATGTCCATGGATGTCATCTCTCGTTGCTCTGGAATAGTTCACTCTTCCAAAACGATTGAAAAGTTTGTTTTCAGCAATGTTCTCACCTTAGATTTCAGGTCCTTAAAGATAACAACGTGGCATTAATGTAGGAATGCTGCCTGGTAATATCTTTAAGAAGAACAACTGCCAGCCCAAAGGACAATAGACCTCTTTATTTTTATTTATTTATTGTTATTATTATTATTATTTTTTGAGATGGAGTCTCTCTCTGTCATCAGGCTGGAGATCTTGGCTGGGTGGTGGGATCTTGGCTCACTGCAACCTCTGCCTCCCGGTTCAAGCAATTCTCCTGCCTCCGCCTCCCAAGTAGCTGGGACTATAGGCGTGCACCACCACACCCAGCTAATTTTTGTATTTTTAGTAGAGATAGGGTTTCACCGTGTTAGCCAGGATGGTCTCGATCTCTTGACCTTGTAATCTGCCAACCTCGGCCTCCCAAAGTGCTGGGATTACAGGTGTGAGCCACCGCTCCTGACAGAATTCTTTTTTTTTATTTTGATGAGTAGAACATTACAAAATAAAATACTTGTCTATATTTTTAAAATCTAGATGTCTAGCTTTTTTAAGAAATAAGAAGACCTGGTACCATGTGACCCATATTCAAGTTTGTCAGTGGTTTCAAGTACTAGAGCTGAGAACCACTGCCCTCCCTTGGTTGGGGCTGCAATCTCCATTTATTGCAGTCCTCATTGAGTCCTTCCTTTGTTTTATGTGAGTCTGTGCCCCAATCCTGAAAGACACAGTCCCAAATGCCATAATCCTAAATGCTGAAATCCCAAAGGATTAAAAGCCTGAAAATAGAGTTCTGGAAAAAAACAAAGTTTAAAGACATTTATTTTAAAGAGAAAAAAATTTTAAGACATTTATTTACATTTTAAAATGATGATTTATTAGAGAAACATATAAAAACATGACAGCGTGCTTCATAAGCCACTTTAGACAATAAAATAAATAGACAATAAAAACATACATATATTTTCAAGCATAAGCACTCAGGTATACTAATGGCAGTTGGGGAAAACCCAAAATGTATGAACGCACATCACTCTGGTTGTAATTATGTGCACCAGCTTTATAACGGTGGTCATGTGAAATACTATGATGAACAACAAATCTTTTCACAAGATTGATAAAAAACTGAGATGGGTTACCACCGCATGTTCAGTCGCTCAAAGAGCCAAGATCTTGAGAAATCTTATCTTTCATAAATGGAGATGTACAAAAGAACATCTCTTCATTTATTGAGGAAGTGTCAACCTTTTTATGTTGAGAACCAAGGAAGGAAGCTGAAGCCAGTAGTGTAACTCTCAGTCTGAGACCGAAAGCCTCAAGACCTGGGGGGCCTCTGGTGTGTAAGTCCTGGAATCCAAAGGCCAGTGAGCCTGGAATTCTGATGTCCGTGGTGGCAGAAGTCTGTCCCAGCTCTCAGAGAAAGACCAGCTCACCTTCTGTATCTGTTCTCTCTGGGCCCTTGCTTGATTGGATGATGCCCATCAACAATGAGGGCAGATCTTCCCCACCTCATCCACTCACACTGACACATTAATCTTCTCTGGAAATACCCTGAGACATGCCCCAAATAATGCTTTCTTAGGTTTCTAGATATTCCTTAATCCAGTCATGTTGACACCTAAAATTAAGTCCACAAGTCTACCCCTTGCAGCTTGGCACCCACATGCATCTTGTTAAACCATTATTTAAATTTCCAAATAAAGACAATGACAAGGTAATATAATGATTCCTCCTGACTTGATATAACTATCCTGCATACAACCAAAAATGCACTAATCCCTTCCCTAGAATTTGGCTTTCAGGATTTCAACATATTTCAGAATTATGATTTTGGGGATTTTAGATGTTGGGGATTTTAACCTCTACGGATTTTGGTCTTTAGGAATTTCAAAATTTGGGATTATGACTTTTGAGATTGTATCTTTTGGGATTATAATTGGCACTGTTTTTTGCCAATTATAGGCATTTGAGTTTTTTAATCATTCCCTTAGAAAGCATTTGAGTTTTTTAATCATTCCCTTAGAAGTTTATTTTATGCTTGTAAACTATGGAACACAAATGCCATCCTTATATCTGTAGTTGAATATTTATAAGATAAAACAAGAACATGTGTAATGTAAATTTTATGAGAATTGTTTAGTTAACATTAAACAGAAAGTATTTTAAAAGCTAATTTTTTAAAAGGTGTGTTTATCATTGGCCAATTTCTAAAGCACGCTGTACAGACTTTTTCCCTAAACAAATAGAAATTCTGTAAAATATTTTAACCTATTTGCAATTAATAATGGTGTTATCACATGAATATTTAGCCCCTAGACCCAGACTTTTACCCACTTCAAATAAGAGTACAAAGTACAAATACAAAATATAAACCTATTTGATTCATTTGTCTTTGGATACAAAAATAATAAAACTAAAAATCACACTCTATAAACATTTTAGTAAGGATTTAAACCCCAATAATGAGAAATTCTATTAGAAGAAAGAGAACACTAACATACACAAAGCCTGAGTCTCATGAAAGTCGGCTGTTAGCAATGAGTACGTTACTCTGCTATTTTCTCACCCAAGGTAGAACGTATTCTCAATACCTTTTCTACATGAGAAGCTTTCCTGACCACATCCCTTGCTTCAGCACCTCTGCGATGGGATTCGTAAAAATAGCAAATCAAGTATTTTCTGTTTTTCTTTTTCCAGCATAGAAAACTTTCCTAAATTGTTCGTCTCTGTCCAAATGTCATGTTTGCCATTTGTCTCCAAATGGTCCCCGGAGTCATACTTTTCATTTTATGATTTATACATTCTTACATTTCCTATTTTATTTTTTCCTATAGCAGGGTTTCTCAACAGCAGAGCTATTGACATTTTTGGTCAGATAATTCTTTATTTTAAGAGGCTATCCTGTGCATTAAAGCATGTTTAGCATAATCCCTGCCCTTTGCATACTACATGTCAGTAGCACTTTTACATCCCCTCTGCCTTGTAAAAGGCAAACATGTTTCTAGACATTGCCATATGTCTCCAGAAGAGGTAAACTGCTCCACGTTGAGAACCACTACCCTATACCAAAAAAGATTCACAAAAACACCATGATTGTTTACATTTCCCAATGGAGAACAAATTTTATAAAATACTGATTCTACCTCATTAAAGAAGAAGAAGAAAAAAACCCCCTATTTTTGTATTTTATCTCCCCTACTCACTGATTTTTATATTTGTGCAGTCAATTCTTTGCTAATCAGTACTTTGGGGAAGTTTGGAAATGTTTATAGGCTTTTTAAAAAGATACCCTTTTCTGTTTTTAGATATTTTAAACCTACAGACCTACGTAGTTCTCCTTTTAATTAACTATTAAATACTTGCAAAGAATTATAATATATATACAAAAGGCATATTTTTAAAAAGAACACCTCAATGCATACTATCCATACATCTATGGAATATCCTGTGGGTTCCTCTCAATCCCATCCATTTACTTCTCAACTCCCACCGAGATAATGACTTAATTCCCTTGCTTTTCCCTTTTCTATTATGATATACACTTGTTTCACTAAACAATAAATTATTTAGTTTTTTACATTTTTGAACTTTAAATAAGTGGAATCATACTATATATATTCTGTGCTTTGCTCTTTTTTTGTTCAGCATTATGTTTGTGAGATTTATTCATGTTGATGCATGTAGTGGCATGTTCTTTGTTTTCGTTTCTGTATTGTATTGCTTGTATGACTATACAACATTTTACTTATCAATTCTCCTGTCAGTGGACACTTGAGTTATATTCAGTGTTTTTGCTTTTATAAATAATGTTTCTATGAACATTCTTGAACTTCTTCTTGGTCAACTTTTGTGAGTTTCTGTAAGATATATTTCCAGGAGTGAAGTTGCTGAGTCATAGGATATATGTACCATAAAATCTACTTTAAAAAGCCAAATTTTTTTCCAAAGTGGTGGTACCAATTTTCACTCCCACCAACAATCTGTGATAGATCCTGTTGCTCTACATCTTCTCCAGCATTTGGCACTATTGGACTTTGAAATTTTTGCCAATCTGGTGGGTATAAAATGTAATCTCTTGTGACTTAATTCACATTTTTTGATACGTCTCTCTGAATATCTTTTCATATATTTATCAATCACCTGAAGCTCTACTTTTGTAAAGTTTCTGTTCATATCTTTTGGTTATTTTTGAAAATTGTTTACTTATAATCTTATACATACTAATTTGTAGGAGTTCTTTTTGTATTCTGGTTACTAATCCCTTGACAATTTTATATGTTGCAAATATGTTCTCCCAGTTTGTCACTTGAGTTCACCCTTACCTAAAATTTTCTGATGAACAGAATTCTTAATTTTATTGATGTTTTTTCCTTTATGATCTAATCTTTTTTGTATTTTAAGAAATCTTTACCTACTGATAACCTACAGGTCACATTGGCAGGCTTCCAAATTAATCCACCTGGGGGAGGTCTTATGATTCATGGCTTACATCCTGTCCCTGAGTAAACAGTTTTATCGTGAGTTCCTCAAATCTTATCATGAATTCCTTAAACTGTTGACATACTGATTAATATGTAGCCTACTGACACTGGAAAAACACTGAGTTGTTTGTGAATCATGAGGTTTTACTGATTGTTTTGCACATAGAGCATTTTAGCTTGTATTTTGTAGTCTGTAGCCAATGATTATAACCTCTGTCTTGTACCCTCCAATGAAAATCACAACTCGGGTCTGAGGAGTTGGCCTCCCTTCTGAACTTCCCCATAAAAGCCTTCCAACCTGTAGCAGATTCTGTAATATGCCCAACTTTGTGGTGTGTCTTCCCAGGTAGATCCTCGCATTTCGCTTCCAATAAACCTTTATCAAATTATTTCTGCCTCAACAGCCTTAATTTTGGTTGACACTATCCTGAAGTCATAAAGATATTCTATAGTTTCTAAATGTTTTATAGTTTTGCCTTTTGTGTTTATATATTTCAACCATCTAGAATTTATTTTTAATGTATTCTCTGAAGTACAGAACCAAGTTTATTTTTTTCCGTATGAATACACAAGTGTTCAAATGAAAAGACCACACTTTCCCTCTGCTCTGCCATGTTGCCTCTTTCAAATATCAAGCATATGTGTATAAATCTGTTTCTGGTCTATTTTCCTGTCCTTGCCAATACCACACTCACTGAATTATTTTAGCTTTTTAATAAGTCTTCATATTTAGTTTTAGAAGAAATCTATACAATTATTTCCTCAAAAGTATAAAAATGACTTCAAATTTGTTAGCACCAAATCAAGTATATTGAATTATTGAATTGATCATTTTTAACCTTCTCTATCACTTTGGTCTTATTCCATCTGATACTTGCTATTATCTGGACCCTAGTATAGGCTTTTCATATTGCAATAAAAGAAGTGTGCACCATGGAATATGATGCAGCCATAAAAAAGAATGAGATCATGTCCCTTTCAGGAACATGGATGGAGCCGGAGGTCATCATCCTTAGCAAGCTAACACAAGAACAGAAAACCAAATGCTGCATGTTTTCACTTACATGTGAGAGCTAAACAATGAGAACATGGGGACACAAAGAAGGGAAGGACAGACACTGGGGCCTACTTGAGGGTGGAGGGTGTGAGAAGGGAGAAGATTAGAAAAATAACTATTGGGTATTAGGCTTAGTACCCGGGTGACAAAATAATCTGTAAAACAAACCCCTGTGACATGAGTTTAGCAATATAACAAGCCTGTGCATTTACCCCTGAACTTAAAAGTTAAAAAAGAAAATTGTGCAGGTATCCAGATTGAGGTCAAGCGGAGGTAAATTAGAAGGTCAAACATTTAAACTAAACCAAAATTTGTCATTGCAAAAGAATATGGTTGTAAACAGTCTTCTGAATATGCAAATATATTTAATAACTGTAAACTTTTAATATTAGAATGTTGGCATTCAAACGTTTGGTACCAAGGTTTCTGATAATCATTTTCCCACTGAATATTTACAATATTTCATGAGAGAATGTGGCATGTTTTTGTGGGCCTGTGGTGTCAGAATTCTTAAACAATAGAAATTTCCACTTAGGGAAAATTATATTTAAGTTACATTCATATTAAAGAGATATAGGAAAATACAATAATTTAATCAAAGTTGATTTTTTTTAAGTATATCATTTAAAATAAGTGTGCTAATGTTGAATTAAACTATGTTAACACAAATTCAATTAAATCAATTTTCCAAGTTTTTGAATTTTAAAATGAAGATATTTCTTTTACTTCTACTTCTTTTTTTGTTACTTATATTATTGCTGTTTATTGATATTTATAATTTTTCATTGTAAATTTAAAATGATGGTTAAGAATTCCAAGCTTTACCCTCATTTACCTGTCTCAAGGGTTTAAATTTATATTCATTAAGGTATTTATGACATTCAGGCATGAATATTACGGTCTCTTTTTCTTGTACCAATACAGAAGACAAAAAAGAGCAAATAAACGTAAATGGAACCAAAAGATATTTGTATTTAGGAGTCTTTGTCCATATTTAAAAACTATAATGTTATTGTAGATTGTAAGGTTTTTGTTTGTTTGTTTTGTTTTGTTTTGTTTTTTGAGATGGAGTCTCGCTCTGTCTCCAGGCTGGAGTGCAGTGGCACAATCTTGGCTCAACGCAACCTCTGGCTCCTGGGTTCAAGTGATTCTCCTGCCTCAGCCTCCCATGTAGTTGGGACTACAGGTGCCCACCACCACTCCTGGCTAATTTTTTGTATTTTTAGTAGAGATGGGGTTTCACCATGTTGGCCAGGATGGTCTTAATCTCTTGACCTTGTGATCCACCCCCCTTGGCCTCCCAAAGTGCTGGGATTACAGGTGTGAGCCACCATGACCGGCCTGTAGATTGTAAGTTTCTATAAGGAGGTAATAGTAATAGTTAAATTCATTATTGTCCCAATGAAGGTAATTAACAAATAAAAACTTACGGATGGTGATGAAGACAATATGCTTTTTAATTTGGAATTTTCGTCAGAAAAGTGGCCCTTCCAGAGGGGTAGACGAATGTATGACCATTTAGCCCTATGGTTGTTTAATAAAACAAATTTCAAGATGGCATAATCTGAGATTTAAAGTAGGCCCAGAGCCTCAACATTAAATTTTTTTCTTGAAAAATTTCATATTCTTAATTCTGAAAGATTGCTTTTGATGAAGTTGCTTACTTTGGTACCATAAAGAAAGAGAGAAAAATAAGAGACTCATATTAGCTGAAATACTTAGATTATTTGGAAGTAACCCAATTTGCTTTCCTTTAGTTGCTTGCGGCCAGCCCCCTGTTGTAGAAAATGCCAAGACCTTTGGAAAGATGAAACCTCGTTATGAAATCAACTCCCTGATTAGATACCACTGCAAAGATGGTTTCATTCAACGTCACCTTCCAACCATCCGGTGCCTAGGAAATGGAAGATGGGCTATACCTAAAATTACCTGCATGAACCGTAAGTGGTCCTTTAGAAAGAATGGACTACCGTGCTATAACAACTACTAGACACCTTCATTTTACGGCTGTGGTATCGGCAGTTTAGGGTATGGAGCAAGTAATATTGTTGTGTTTTCTTTTTTTCTTTCTTTCCTTCCATGTAGCATCTGCATACCAAAGGACTTATTCTATGAAATACTTTAAAAATTCCTCATCAGCAAAGGACAATTCAATAAATACATCCAAACATGATCATCGTTGGAGCCGGAGGTGGCAGGAGACGAGGCGCTGATCCCTAAAATGGCGAACATGTGTTTTCATCATTTCAGCCAAAGTCCTAACTTCCTGTGCCTTTCCTATCACCTCGAGAAGTAATTACCAGTTGGTTTGGATTTTTGGACCACCGTTCAGTCATTTTGGGTTGCCGTGCTCCCAAAACATTTTAAATGAAAGTATTGGCATTCAAAAAGACAGCAGACAAAATGAAAGAAAATGAGAGCAGAAAGTAAGCATTTCCAGCCTATCTAATTTCTTTAGTTTTCTATTTGCCTCCAGTGCAGTCCATTTCTTAATGTAAACCAGCCTACTGTACTATTTAAAATGTTCAATTTCAGCACCGATGGCCATGTAAATAAGATGATTTAATGTTGATTTTAATCCTGTATATAAAATAAAAAGTCACAATGAGTTTGGGCATATTTAATGATGATTATGGAGCCTTAGCGGTCTTTAATCATTGGTTCGGCTGCTTTTATGTAGTTTAGGCTGGAAATGGTTTCACTTGCTCTTTGACTGTCAGCAAGACTGAAGATGGCTTTTCCTGGACAGCTAGAAAACACAAAATCTTGTAGGTCATTGCACCCATCTCAGCCATAGGTGCAGTTTGCTTCTACATGATGCTAAAGGCTGCAAATGGGATCCTGATGGAACTAGGGACTCCAATGTGGAACTCTTCTTTGCTGCATTCCTTTTTCTTCACTTACAAGAAAGGCCTGAATGGAGGACTTTTCTGTAACCAGGAGCATTTTTTAGGGGTCAAAGTGCTAATAATTAACTCAACCAGGTCTACTTTTTAATGGCTTTCATAAAACTAACTCGTAAGGTTACCGATCAACGCATTTCATATGGATATAGACCTAGGGCTCTGGAGGGTGGGGGATTGTTAAAACAACACACATGCAAAAAAAAAAAAAAAAAAAAAAAAAAAGAAATTTTGTATATATAACCATTTTAATCTTTTATAAAGTTTTGAATGTTCATGTATGAATGCTGCAGCTGTGAAGCATACATAAATAAATGAAGTAAGCCATACTGATTTAATTTATTGGATGTTATTTTCCCTAAGACCTGAAAATGAACATAGTATGCTAGTTATTTTTCAGTGTTAGCCTTTTACTTTCCTCACACAATTTGGAATCATATAATATAGGTACTTTGTCCCTGATTAAATAATGTGATGGATAGAATGCATCAAGTGTTTATTACGAAAAGAGTGGAAAAGTATATAGCTTTTAGCAAATGGTGTTTGCCCATTCTAAGAAAGGAGCGAATACATAGAAATAGTGTGGGCATTTCTTCCTGTTAGGTGGAGTGTATGTGTTGACATTTCTCCCCATCTCTTCCCACTCTGTTTTCTCCCCATTATTTGAATAAAGTGACTGCTGAAGATGACTTTGAATCCTTATCCACTTAATTTAATGTTTAAAGAAAAACCTGTAATGGAAATTAAGACTCTTTCCCTAATTTCAGTTTAGAGCAACTTGAAGAAGAGTAGACAAAAAATAAAATGCACATAGAAAAAGAGAAAAAGGGCACCCAGAGATTGGCCCAATATTGATTCTTTTTTATAAAACCTCTTTGGCTTAGAAGGAATGACTCTAGCTACAATAATACACAGTATGTTTAAGCAGGTTCCCTTGGTTGTTGCATTAAATGTAATCCACCTTTAGGTATTTTAGAGCACAGAACAACACTGTGTTGATCTATTAGGTTTCTATTTTTCTTTTCTCATTACAATGCACATAATACTTTCCTGTATTTATATCATAACGTGTATAGTGTAAAATGTGAATGACTTTTTTTTGTGAATGAAAATCTAAAATCTTTGTAACTTTTTATATCTGCTTTTGTTTCACCAAAGAAACCTAAAATCCTTCTTTTACTACACTGTGACTGGTCTGGTTATTTACAACTTTAAATCCTAATGTGCACCAACATTTTTACATTCTGGTTCCACCATGGAGAGCAAGCTTCTAGCCTGGATGAAATGATTCTGTGGCAAGCAAAGAAATGATTATATATATACCCGCAAAAGTTGCGATAATAATTCTGATAATGTTTTTATCTGAATACTATGTATTAATTTCAAATATGAAAAATATGCAATGGAAAAAGTGATAGCTCACATCACAGAAATCTTCCTAGGAACGAAGGCAAGTGTTTCACACGTAATATATCACAACAAGCTTATGAAACAGGGGTCATCATTACTGATTGATGAGGGATCGGGCATAGAGGGCTCATTATTTGTCCAAAGTCATGCAGTTAGTGTGTAGCAGAAGCAGGAAATCCCTACAGCCTACACAGCATTTCCAAGAAAAATATAAAATATTATATCCCTGATTGTTACACATTTAAGGGGTTAATTTACTGGTGAGGAAATCATATGCAAATAATTATCAGAAACTGTCAAAAATATAAAGTTATTATCCATTCAGATATCCATCCATTCCTTCAGTTTTCATTCATTCATTATTTAAGTATTTAATGTGTGCCAGGCACTGTAATAGGCTCTGAAGATTCACCAGTGAATGAGGTAGACAGGATTTTGCCTACATAAAGTTTTTATACTGGCTGCATCCCATTGAAATTATCATAGAACCATTCTATTAAATATCTTTATTGATAATCTGCAAGAACCAATCAATACATTTTATGCTCTGAAGTTATAGCAAAGATATAAAGGTCAAAGGTGAGCTGAAAATTATTTTAAGGTTCTTTCTAGAAATGTCAAAAATATACAGGGAGTTTGGCATGAATAAGTGTGGAAGAGAAGAGATTATTTTCCTTTCTGAGCTTGTCCTTTTTGTGTGCACTCTGTCATATCTTTTACACAGAATTTAAATATGATCCAAGGGAATATGTAAGAATTTATATTAATTGTGCATATATACCCTTCTTAGATTATTGCTGGATCTAGGTACAAATAACAGAATCTCTGGGATGTTTAGAATACTGGGACAGAGTGAGACATTAAAAAAGAGTTACACTAGTCAAAGTCAGCAAGAAGTAGTTCTTTGTCCATTTTTAAAGGTTAAGTGTCATATCAGAGGGAAGAATGTGCCCCTGCGTTGGAGGCTATTTAAGAAGAGGTGGTCTTCCAGGGTAGCTGTATTACTGAAGAGGTAAGAGCGACTGTATAAGGAGGGATGCATCATTTTAATGTGATAGTAAGTAGACCTTTGCTGATCTTAAGTAAATTTTCAATGTAGTACCAAGAGTAGGAACTGAATTAGCCTTAAGCTATTTGCCCGGAAATCATATATCATGTACAATAAACTCATGGAGTTTGCAAATAAAGAGAAAAAAAATAAAGTAGTTGTAAAAAGGTTCAGGGTTAATTTTGTGCATGACTTGTTCATGACTATTTCCTATGAAAAGAATCTGTGAGAGAAAATATATTCTAGATAAGGGCAAAAGATGTTATTATCAAGTGGCTAAAGACTCAGTGATGAATACAACATTTGTAAAGAGTTTTCCTTTATGTTTCCTAATATTAGAAATGCAGTGAAATTGTTTCTGGAAAAAAAAAAGGTCAGCAATGTATGTTAGCACTGATATTGGTGCATCTTTCTTTTTACTGTATTGCAACTTGCATTTGCTCTAAACAAATCAGAATTCACCCAAATGATTCTTTTCTGAAACAAGTCTAAACAGAACATTTATAAAGGTCCTTGAGTGAGTCATTCAAGATTGTATAATCTTTTCCCATTATTACTCATTTCTGTATGTTTACATCCCAGCTGGACAAGAAAGAGCAAATGCCAAAATAGAACAAGAATGGTTTTGTTGAGGTGTTTACAGAATAAGCAAAGCCTGGGTTTTAATTGGAATTTAATTCAGAGTTCTGTCTGAGTCTATCAAATGATCCCTGTTGAAGATTAAAAGTTTACTGCCTTAGGCAGTAAGTCTTAAATTATTTTTGATAGTATTTATTCTAAAATTTTAAAAACTGTGTACCTCTCACAGTTTAAGTTGTCAACAAAAATTTTTTTTCATCATAAATTTAAACAACGATAGAGGATGTAATTTTTGACCTATTTTAAATATTGCCATTCTAAAACAAGCGTATAACATCACTTTCAGATATATTCAGTGGAATCTAAATAATCTAAATATCATAGTAGTTTGACCCCCTACATCATTCTTTTAAAAATAGTCTTTATTAACAGTCAAAAATTTTTTATTTTTACTTTCTTAGGATTAATGTTAAAATTTAAGTTCCTCTTATAGAATGTTATCAAAAATTATATATTTATATGCTTAGAAGTCTTCTATTAAGCCATCAAACTTAAGCACATCAAAATTTGTAATTTAAAGTTTAAATTTTTTTTCCTTGTGAACATAATCCTATAAAAGTTAAAATTTTCCTGGACTGAGTTATTTTTGTAGCTTACTAATATACAATTGATCAAAACAATATAAAGCTATTATAACGTTTGAAATATTACACAAATTGTAAAATTTTGTTGGAAATATATCTTAATGAGGTAATTAGGGCTGTTTTTCCCAATCTGCATTTCCATAGGGAAATATTCCTTAAAATTAGAATGTGGCATAGCTTAGCACATTTCACTCTCATTTTGTCTGATAGATTTAAATACCGAGAAAATCTGTTTACATAAGTAGATGAAAATGATAGTTTTATTGTGCACTGCTACTCATTTTTTAAAGCAATTTCTGAGTTATATGCCAAAAATCACAGTGATCTCTCAAAAGTTATTTTCAAATTACCTCTCAGCTGACATGTCAAGTCCTCCTTAATTTTTTTTTGTTGTTGTTTAATAAACACTTGGTTTGAAAAAGGATTTGTCACACTGGCATCAGAATTATTCAGTGTGAGTTGTCTTTTATTTGTTCTAATTCTTGCATTCCATGGCAATGTATCCTAAGACTCAGAATGGATAAGAGGTATGTTTCATGTAGTGGTTTATTTATTTATTTATTTTTTATAAAGTAGTAAAGGAGCAATTGTCTAAAGTATTGGTCCTCAAAGTTTGTTCCCTGGAACAACAGCATTAGTTTCACGCAGGAACTTGTGAAAAATGCAAATCCTCAGACCTTACCCTATTGAGTGAGAGATTATGGGAGTGCGGACAGCAGTATGGGTTTTTGCAGACACTCCAGTGATTCTCATGCATTCTAAAGTGTATGAGAACTGGCATAAAGGGGGACGCAAAAGCAGAAGCAGGAGCCTCCACCACAGACACCTCCCTAGGCAAATGAGTTTTAGAAAAGCATCCAGGTGGTAATCAAAGTTCTGGAAAGGACTTCACTTTCGTATATCCCTTGGAAAGTCTTAGGGCACTCACACAGTAGGAGTACTACCCTGGGAGTATACTAAGTTTTCCCCTGGTTTGGAGAAAGCTGCTTTAAGATACAGAGTCCTTCAAGTGCTTTCTGATTTTTAGTACGTCATCTGTCCATATTTATGACCTATGTGTTCTACTAGTCTGGTGGTGATTACTTCCCAACCTTTTAATGGGCCTCAGGTTTTAAAGAAAAATGTGAGAAAGGTTTTCTTTACAGGAAAAACTGAATAAAGCAGCATGATTAAAAATACTAATTTCTTAAAGACCTGATACAAAGTTTTAAATGTAGGAATTAAGAGAAATTTAAAAACAGAAAGAGAAGCAAAGAAGATATATTGTAATTTCTCTTCAAGAGCCAACCAGGAAAAGGAACCTCAAATTCAATGATGAGCCTTAAAAGAGGCATAGGTGGGAGAATCCTTTGGAGTGCACTGATCTCTACATTGCTTCAGTTCCCAGATCACCTCATCCTCTCCTATATTCATAAGCCAGATTAAACCCATTTTTCATATAATAATACATATTGAGCACTTACCAGGTTCCAGGCAGTATGTTAGGTGCTGGGGATACTGTCATAAACAAGATTAGCTGAGTTTCTGTTTTTAGGGAGCTTACAGTCTGATGAGAAAGATTAGTAATGGCATTAAAGTAGGAAGAGTCTGATTTCTCAAAATGCGAAAGCCTCTGTTCTTGACCATCTTTTTTTTTCCACTCTCCATCTTTGCCTGATTCCATTCGTAACTGTAGCTTAAATCCCTACATGATTACTTCCGTGTCCAGTTGGTTGGATTCTACAGGCACATGAAGATCTTTATCTTTCAAGTTGAACTATTATCCCTCTCTCTCCCCCAACCATTTTTTATAACTAGTAGTCATTCTGGCTCCTAATTTAATGCCCATGTTTAATCAATTGCCAAATTCTGTAATTCTACCTCCAAAGCCTTCTCATATCCATTCTCTTCTCTCTATCCCAACTGTCCTCAATATCTCACATAGCCTTACTATCTCTAGACACACTGCTTTCCAAATTACCTTTCAAACTACTGCAGAGTATTCTTTAAAATGTGCACATCAGAGCTTGGCATTCCCCAGCACAGAATTCTTCAGAACTTAATGCCTACAAAATAGAATCTAATTTCATATGCATAGACTTTACCTACTTGTCCAATCTAATATTCTGCAAAATGCTGTGAACAAAACCCCATACTATTTGATTTCATGTCTTGATTTAGAAATCGTAAGTGGAAAAACTATCGAATTTAAGTTCTAATGTTTTTATTTAATTGATCACTTTGGTTTCCTGTTCAGTCTCTGATCAAATGTCAGACTCTTCTTGTAGCAATTGTATGGGAGGCAGAAATGGAAGACTGAAACTGCCATTTGACTCAGTAGGACATAGGTGTGTCTTTCCAGGTAAACTCTGCACTCTTCTCCTGCTCTGTGCTCTGAGATACTGACAGTATAGACTGCTCCTATTGGGTTCAGCCACGGAGAGCATTGCAGGAAATCAGAACCAGAGAGGATAACTCTATATCAGTGTGTAGCCCCTTGGCTCCTCCCAGTCCTGTGGGATTG